TTCAAATGTAGACGTGTTCTGAATTGTTAAGGAGCTCAACTGTGATCTCACAGAACAAAGGGGCTATTCTTTCCATATGTATTTTAACATCTAGAAATTTATATTGTTTTTTAATAGAGCATGTCCTCATAAAATATTTAATTAAAATTAGAATTTGAAAAATTAGAAAAAAAACATCTCAAAGCTTTAAAATATTTCTCTGGCTATTTCAAATATGCTTTAGTCTTTAAAAATCATATGAAGGCTTCCAGGCCACTGGAGGCTTTCTCACGTGAGCCTGTGGCAGCGGTGGTGAGCACAGGACCCATGTAAGCTCAATGAAACAAGGAGCCAAAGATGAGGTGAGAAACAGGTAGCAGGCAGTACTAGATTGAAAGTTAGAGACTGAGTGCTGCTGGTTGAGGTAGACTATGACTTACAAACAACCACTGGCTGGGCTGACTAGACTCTGGTGGCTGCATTTACACCGAAGGACCTTTGGGTAGAAACACCTAAATGAATAGGACTCAGCATGTACGGCAGAGTGCATAGGGTTCGGTTTGGGGAGGGGGTGGATAAGTGAGGGAGAGGATCTGGATTTGAGATGGAAAAGTATGAAATTTAAAAAGCTCAATTAAAAAAATACATGAATTACTTTCAAATTCCCTTATGTTCTTTTAGAAGTTTTGTCTAGGTGAATAGGTTAGAAATATTTATAGAAAACAAACTCTAATTAAATTTGCCATTGAACGTCTAAATAAACATGAGTTTGATGTTCTCAAAATGCTATTTTAATGGCACTTTGATCATAACGAAAACCCACCTGCAGTCTATAACGCATGTATAATGCATTAACTGACTTTAATTGTTGACTCACATTCTTGCTATTGGGATAATTTCCTAAGTCAAGAGCATGGATCGCCCAAGATCTATCTCACAAAAGGTTTATTAGAATGCATCTGCTCCTCACCTTATAAAAAAAAATCACTGGACAAATTTCTTTCCTGTTAACTAAGCAAATTTTGTGATCTGCAGAGATTGTTTAGTTTTCTTCTCGCTAGAAAATTTTAATTTACAACAATCATTTTACAATTTTTAGCTTAACAGAACTGCTCTGCATTTGAGATGCTGAGGTGGATGGAAAATTCTGTTTTCACACAGTAATGTCAGCAGTATTGACTTGTTGAGCAGTAGCACGAATTTCCTTACATACCACACAGAACAGGCACAATACTGAAGGGATGTTCCAGCATCTCCCCATCCTAAATACTCCAAATGGTCTTTGCTTCAATAGATTGGTACAATGAGTGTAATTTCTAGAAGAAAAAAAAAAAAATTTTTGTGCTGGTTAAAAGGGGAGACCCCAAAGCCAATTCCTAGGTTGAGTTCATGATTCTTCCAGTTATGATATTTTAGCAACCAAACTTGTCTCCATGATAAAAGAGAAGCCATTTGTACTTCTTAACAATGTTCTTTGTATTCATGTGTAGAGGAGCAGCATGGCTATTTTAAAATGTGTACTTGATATTTAGGTGCGTTGTATTACAGCACTTCAAATCAGAACATCTACCTAGATTAATGATGTAGTGAATGATACTACTGTCTGAGATAAGATTTCCCTGTAGATGGAGAGACAGTTCTGCTGTAAAGAGCACTGACTGCTCTCGCACAGGACAGAAGTTTGGTTCCCAGCACCCACATGATGACTAACAACCATCTTTAAGTCCAGTTCCAGGAGATCTGATATCCTTTTCTGACTTTTGTGGGCATTACATGATATAAGTGCTCTTACATATATGCAGGCAAAATACTCAGACACATAAAATAAATAGAAAAAAATAAATTTAAAAAATATTTCCCATGGAAATATGTATATGGTCAAGTGATGTTTACATAGCTTAATAAGGTATATAAATAATAAATAATAATTAGACAGATAATAGAGATAAATAATATAAAGATAAATAAATGACAGATAGATAATTAATAGGTAGATGCATCATAGGTCATAGCTAGATGATGGATGACAGATAGATGTCTTAGTTTCATTTTATTTCCTTTAAGCTCATGGAGTTAGTTTTACAATGTCCATACAGTCCACATAAATTGCTGATACGAGGCTGAAAAGTTGTAAAACATTAAAAATCATTCTACTTTTAACAAACAAAACTGTGCTTTTAGTATAAATCAGCTGTGGCTTATCTCTGTATTGTACTTGAGAAAAAGACTGAATACCCAAATTATCTACTTCTGCTTATTGAAGTCACGCACATTAAGTTCATAGTAATGGAAACTATGCCTCAGGATACTTTCCACACTCTGTTTCTTAAGTAACACTTTTCAGGATCTATGAACAACAATACCTAACAGAGACTTTTTTCACTTGTGTCCTGTGAATGCTCTAATTTTGAGATTGCTTTCATATGCTGCACGCTTTTTGCTTTATTCTCTGAAGTGCACAGTGAGTATAGAAAATGTGAAAGGAAGGAAAAAATATAGAATGAATTTAAAAATTTTGTGCCTTACAATAACTATTTGAATAAAAACATTTCAAAATACTTAGGGAAATGATAGTCATTACAGTCTAACAATTTATGCAACAACAGCAAATCACATGCTGAAGAAATAATATATTTTGAAATGTAAAAGCAGAAGGTAATTTTCAAATGTGGGTTTTATTTCATTTTAAATGTAATATATAGATTAACAGTGCATGACATTTAGTTAATATATCCTATTTTAGACACATAAATTCACATTAATTACATCAATTAAAACAAGGTCACATTTTAGAAATTTGTGTTCCCCAAGAAAAGGGTTCAAGAATTATCTCATTTTAGAAATAGGGAACTGGAGGTTATTTATAGGAGTAAGAAGATTCCCAAGTGGTTATCTTTAAAACTAAGGTAAAGTACTATGGGAATGAAAATTTAAACATTTTTTATTTTAAATTTTATGCAACTGCAAATGTTGTATATGACAAGCCTCACATTCTCTCTATAAATTTTGTACATTTAAAGAAAAATGCAAATATCTAATGCCATTGACTTCTTGTTTCCTCAGTAGGAAATGCCTTGGGAAATCCAAGACCAGTTCTCTAGGGAATCTGAAACTTACAGTTTGGACAGTATATAGTAACCTATTGAAAATTCTCAGGGGAAAGGGGATAAGCTATGCCAAACTGAGATAAAACACAACAATGTTACATATTTGTTTGGCTGTATAGGACATCGCAGATGAAACAGTCTCTTAAAAGAACCCCTGTGCATCAGCACTGCTTGTAAGAGGGAGCCTCCTTTCGAGTAACTATACTAATGACAGAGCAGCAATAATAACTCACATAGAGTGTTTTAATATGCTACATTTCTTTATAGCCAGTCTTCACAACCAATATAGGAGAGAATTCTTGTTACTTTATTACTCCTACAATTGAGGAAAATATAGCAAGAAAATTTCATTTTCCAGACATGCTGCTTATGCATGGCAGAGTCAGAACATGAACCCAGACATTCTTAATCCCCAAACCATAATTATGTCGACTACATTTTGGAGCCTCCTGAGAGGAGAAATTTCAAAGGGCTGCTTGGATTTGCATCAGAAGAACATGTGTCTGAGTTTATCTAAACTAGCAGAACAAGAAACTTCCAAAATTATGTTATTTGGTTTACAAAATTGTACTTATAAAGTGCAACAGGTCTGCATGCAAGAAAGCATGGAAAAGGCAATTTTTTAATGAAGTAACTCTGTATGGCAAATTATACACTATATTCTTTGTTTTCTAAGTCTTAAAAATATTTATATATGCATATTGTCTGTGTGTGTAAGATATCTGTGCAAGAACCCATGGAGGCCAGAAGTTGTTGGTTCATGGGGAGTTAGAGTTACAGGCAATTGTGAACCCTTCAACTTGGGTGCTGGGGACAGAATTTGGAGCCTTTGGAAGAGCAACAAGAGCTCTTAACTGCTGAGCTATCTATCCCTCCAACTTCTGATATGTGCTTATCAAACACTTATTCTTCCATTTGTTTTCTGTTTCCACATAACATAAAGCAGCTGTATTGTTTTCTGTCAAATTTAGTAATATACATAACATATGACATATTGGATATGTTTTATGCATATATTCCATTCTGGAGCTCTATGTAACACCTCAAAGAATTAAGCCATCAGTGACTATAGCAACATTTCTGTCTTGCTGTTACTGGAATTTTGAACAGGACAATTATTTCTTCCTTCTGTTCTGCCCTGTGACTTACAAGTTTTACCAGCACCTCTAGATGTTAGCAGTGCTTCCCTCTGATTATCAACAAAGTGTTTCCACATATTCACTCCAATTAAAAAAAAAATCATGCCACACTGTCCTGTAAACATTGATTTAAATCCAATTAGTTCTCATATATGTACCTCTATATAAATATCATCTAAGGTAAAGACACTGATTATTTATATCTAAATTTTAATAAAATTTTAACAGAAAAGATACATAAGGAAAAATATTTATATATACGTTTCAAAACAAAAATTGAATCAATAAAGAACTGAACGTTTATAGGCTTTATACAAGAGAAAGAATTCCCTAGAAATATCTCAGCTATTTTCCAAATAAATGTGAACAGAGACTTGTATGATTATCCTCAAGCAACTTACCTTCTTGGAATAGGTTTACAGTTACAGAAAATGTCTTGCATGACCATAGTGTGATAATTAAAATGGGGAAATCAAATTGGTTCAATATGCTTAATTATTCTTACTCTACTGATAGTATTGGAATTACCAAACTTCATTCACATGAATGCCTCCTTATTCTAATGACAATTCCTAGATGTTAGCCTTGTTTCTCATGACCTTGAAACTGTTGGAGAGAACTGAGTAGAGTAGAGAACTTGTAGAGTGCCCTCCCCCATTCTGCTTTGTTTGGTATGTTCTTGTGATGAAATTATGTATGGGGGGCAGATAGCCTAGAAGTGATTATGCCCCCTCATGGCTTCATACCTGAAGAGACAGGATGTCAATATGTCTTATCACTGGCAATGTTAATTGTAATGACATGGTTAAGATAGTGTTTCCTAGATTTTTCAAATTAAGAAGTTTTTCTTTTGGATTGAATATATATCTCTAGAGTATTATTTTGAAAGTACTCTATATCCTTTTTAGTATGCTTTTGTTCACAGCTTTACTATCTTTTGATGACTCCTCTCTCTGACAGTATTATATGGTGTGGTGATTTGCACTCCATTCTACTATAAGGAAGAACTATTACATTTATCATTTTGATTAATTCATTCACTTCTCTAAGCTGCTCCAGGTAGGTCACACTTGTGGCCTAGGATAGTTATAAATATGGTCCAACAAAAAATTGTACACTTCCTTAAAAAATATGAGATTTTGTGTATGTATGTGAAAGTTTTCTTTTGTAACTTGATTGTGCATTTCTCTAGGATTAATTTTGCAGATGAAAATATCTTGGTTTGGTGTCAAAAAATCTGGAAATGCATGCTAGATCCATGAGCAGTTATTATACTTTATATTTTCAAATCTCTGACTGTGATTGTGAGATAACTCAGCAGGTTAAGGGGGTTGCTGTCAGGCCAGCGTTCACTCCATCCTCTGGACCCAGATGTTGGAAAAGGAGAACGAATTTTTACAAGTTGTCTCCTGACCGCCATCTGTGTGCAGCAGTACATCCATGCTTGTGAGTATGCATTTGTGTGCACACACACATACAAATAATAATATTTGTCTGTTTCAGTTGCCAAGGTTATCAGATGGATTCAAAGGGCATTCGGCAAAAATAAGTTTGCCAATAATCCAGATTATGGTAAAAATGACTCATTAAAACCACTGTTTTGAGAGAATACCTGTAGCCCTCACAGAATTCATTTAACTTATTTTTCTCAAACAGGAAATGTAACCAGTAAGCATTCTTTGAAACTTCTGCTTGGCTGCTTCACATACTTTTATAGTAACATATTTAAATGTACATTTAAAATTATTAAGTATAGGACAGCAGTTGAGTTCATAGACTGGAAGACAATAGCCAAAGTTGGAATCCAAATTGCACACATGAATTGTTGAAACTTTCACTAGTTATTCATTGTTCTTAAACAGCAAAGGAGATAAAATTACTACTTATACCAATAGGCCTGACCAAGATTGGAGAACCAAACAAAGGGCAGTGCACCTAGGTCTGCCTGGTGTCTGGAAATGCTTTTAGAAATGATAGATGTTATTATTTTAATGGACTATTTTAAAGAAACACAAAGTCAATTAAATAGATTTTGAATCAGTAAAGAAGCAATTTGATCTAGTTACTTTT